GTAAAAGAGCCTTCAGAGGAGCACCTGTCTCGCTTCCTATTCGTCCTACTTAGGTGTCGGTCGGTCAAGTGATTTTGAGTGCTTCGTTAACCGGTCAGCGTTCGCGTCTAAGTCATTAGCGCGCGTATACTGTAACCACCTATATTGTGCGTCCGTTCCGAGGGCTAAGCGTCTATCCGAATAAGTGCGGCTAGGATCGTTCTCACGCTGGCTCACTTTCCACCTCACCAGCGTGTACCCCCGGCTTAGCTGAGGCAATCAGGTCAGCGCAAATCCGTTCGATTGGCCAGTGTTCCGATCCGTTGCAGTAGGTGTACTTCAACCGTGCCATTGACAATCACATCAGGCGTTCTCACAAACGTAACACAATGCTTGATGAATATCACCCTTAAAGCATCCAGGTCAATGGACGCAACCGTTTCTTCAACTGTAGCACGCGGCGAACGCGTTTGAACTGTGCTTGCACTGTGTAGTAAAAGATGATGATTTAGCTGACAGCCGTTCAGCCAAAAGCGTACCGAGATGGACAAATTTGTGACGAGTAATTCTGCTTCATAAAAACAAACAGAAACTTTTCCGAGATACGACCGTTAACCGTTGAACATCATCTATGAATAGCGACCGGGAACCCTGGTCCAAATAATGGCTCTCTGTGCATACCAAACAAGGCGGTAGAACTCGACGATACGGCTGCATCAATTCTTGCATTCTTAAGCCATTTAGCGTGATCCACCGGGTTTTCCATTTCGATTCGCCCGTTGAAACCCTCCTCGCCTCTGCAAAATTTCAACCAAATACATCGGCACAATCACAAACGAACTGATACAGATCTGTGAAGCTAGGCTTCCTTCCCGACCGAAGTAAACCGGATGCCTTTTTGAGCACTCGAGCAGCGAGCGTACGGAACCATCTTAACGGTTACATTGGCATTTAAATCGGTTTCGTACTTCAGCTGCTGGCAGGTGTTTAGGCACATCTTTATTTAGGTACTCAGTTTGTGCTGCTCCTCTGAAGCATTGACTCGCACTTGAGGTATCTTCACAAGCTATCAATATGAGTCCGAGCAATTAAGTGCGGACAACCGAATCCAGATCTCAAAGTTTCTCATGCATCTTGGAAGCCTTCATCTGGGTCTAGGATTACACAAGATTCGATCACATTTCTTAGCTCGTCCCTCACAATAGTTGATCAAGCAGGACAGCCCTATTTTCGGATACGACGTAGCATTCATCACACACAATAGGAAAATGCGAATAAACGTCCACCAACGCATAGGATCCCCTTTCATGCGTCTGATTTCTCTTTTTGGCAGCCCTGAAAAACAGTCAGCAGCCTCGGACTCCTGTCGATCGCGCCTTCCGAGTGGGCTGTCCATCAAAACCGGAGGGGTGCGAACCGAGGAAAACCCAGTGCGCAACGAACGACTAAACGACTGTAACAAATTGCCAATGTCCCGTGGCGTCACAAAACTTCTGTCAACTGATGGTCTACATAATATGCCACCTACAATGTCACCGCGACGAAATTGTGACTCATTATCCGACGTAACGTATCCACTCGACGCTACTCTTCGATTAAGTTTTCTTCCAGTAAACATATCCGTCTTACATCTGTTCTGATTCTTCCTTTGTTTGTTCGCACAATCGCCTCCCGAACAAGTCCGTCGCGCCCGATATTCGCTTCTTCACCAATACCCTTGGGCCACAGACCCCTTGATGGGCGTACGTCTGCCACCAGGACTAGGTCAACAGTTTTCAATCAACGCCATTTTTCATGCCAACTTTGGTTGTTTACAAGATAGGTAACTAGCACCACAACCATCTCTTGCAAAATTCATCTGACAACTGTTGCATTTGACGCCACAGTCTGGTCAGTCTGTCGTGAATGACTGTCTGCTCCGTTTCCATCATTCGATATGTGGTTAACGGCATCAGCTTGCTCAGTGATATTGCTGCAAACTTATCTGGATGACCGGGGTTAGTTATCAAAGGTCACTAATTGATGACCCGTTCTATCTCGAGTACTGTCGTCTGGAGAACTTCGTCACTGACAACCTGTTCCCCAAGCGTCGCACGGAGTATCTTCCGTATGGAACGTATGAGATATTCCCAAACACCCCTGCGATCACTGCCATAATTTGTGTTAAATACCAATTCACAATTTCTCCCGTTCACTGACCGGTGTAACTTGCCTCGCTTCCACGATCGAGTCAATGTTTTAATTCCATTTCATCCCCTCGGAAATTCAATCCATTATCACTGTAAATCTTCATCGGAACACTGCGTCGTGAGACAAATCAAGAGAAAAAGCACGGGCAATTTCCATGTGAACTGCCCGCACTGAGCGGCAAATAAACACACGGCGGTAACACTCCTCAGTTGTTCGTATTTGTCCAAAAAAGATTTGTCCAAAATAGTCGACAGCCCCTGCTGTAAATTTCGGCCTAAATGCTTAATGACGGTGCTGAATCAACATTACTATTTGTCGTCCTCCGAAATTTTGATTAGCTTATGCTTCTGATCCTCTAATTGAACCACGCCGGTTTGCTGTAGAATAGGCAGAAAATATGTTGTTCTTGCTGCTTGTTAGGCATCAGTTTCACGAATGTGTGGCTAGGATTTTAGCATTAGTTCAACAGTGACAGCCTTTAGCGTGGACTGTGTTGCGAGTTCCTACGACGCATTCGAGGACTTCGCGGTGTTTCTTTGGGAAACTACTAAATGTGCCGGGCAAAATTGATCAACACCAATTGTTCGAAGAGAAGATTTCGATCACCTATTAGATCTCCAGAATAGCTCCTTATTCGATTAAATTACTTCCGACTGTTTGAGGTAACCTCCGCATTTTATTGGGCTAGGACAGATATCTCTCGATTTCCAGCAATGAACATTTGTCCGAACTAGCGATACAGTTTGCTCTTTCCTTTGCGGATTACTAGGTGCGTGTACTATGTTTAGCTCATACCGTCTCATTACGGAAATTGTGAATCAATTAATCACCAACCTTTATTGAACCAAGCCTTTTGATTCTGGTGAGCAACACACCTAGATTTTCGGGCCATAGCTTTCATCGTCTCTTTTGCCATCGATGTATCCTACAGCTGATCACTGTCCGTTGGCTACTAAGCAAAAATGTAGAAATGTTCCATTAAAGAATAAGTCGCAATTACTGATACCAATAAATCCAGAAGAATTCTGGCCATGTCTCGGTAGAAATTTTCACGAAGATAACCAATAATAATTTTATGAGCGTCATGCTACAGATGTTCTAATCAGAGAATATCCTGGCGTCGGCACAGCGCGGATTCGTGCTAGGTGGTTCGTGCTTCACCAATCTTTTCGCGAGGCATAAATAGTTACAAGCAACAAACAGGATGATGCCTACCGAACTGAGGTTCAAGCATTTCCCTGAGACATTCCGTAAAGTCAATCACAAGGTTCTGCCTCACTGTTGACGGTGGCAGCGATCGTAGCTATAGTACCGGTAAAACCGCAATTGTTGCAAATGGACGAGCTAGATGTGCACAACTAGCCAGCCGATTTTCTTGCTTCTAATCCTAGGAAGTCTGCCGAACCCTTTGTGTTATGGTAACTCCTGCACTAATTACATTCTCCAGCATCTTCGGTCGATGTTTGCCCAGCAGGTTCATCAGCAGGTACATCATATTCCTATAGCTGGCGGTTTACATAAACCTTCTATTGGCCCAGCTCGGCAGGGAAGAATACCTCGAAGCGGATCTGTAAGAGCTTGTCTTTATTTTTAAGCATACTGGCGTCATCAACACGCTCACAAAATTCATAGAGTCATTCACCACGCAGAACTCAAGATCGTGAAGTTAAGGAGCGACATCCCTTTTAACCCCTGTGTAAGCTTACTCTTCTAAAATCTTTTAAACAGCCTATCCCGTAGTTATTTTCGAAGCAACGCCAAATACTGTACGCTACACTACGTTAGCCAGTAACCAGATATACCTTCCCTGCCAACAAAGCGACGGCTGGTGTACGGTAAAATTTCGTCAGCCAGTTAAACATCTTGGCTGCCGAGGCCAAGAAACTGAGTCTGTCCACTTGGTATACGTGGTATAGTTTGTAAGAGGTAAGACACACAGGTATATAGGGGTGAAATACTCAGGCAGGTCTAACTGTATGCCCGATCAAAGAAAGAAAACCTGTATGACTCATGTGATTCACTGCGCATTCTGTACTAAACTACTCCGCAGAGATAAATAGACACGCCCGCAAAATCTGGTAAAACATTTGTTTTCAAATCAGAAGTAAAGCAGTCCAAATATAAGCAGCCTGCCTAAGGTAAACGGTAGCATTCAGCAGATGGACTGACACTAACCACTAAAGGTTCGTGGTTGCCTCGCCACTGTTTCAGCTCGTGTAATGACCATATACCAATAGAACAAGTGTTGCAGCTCTCCGAAAAGTCAATCAAACATCCTTCACAACAGGAACTGTTTGAAAACATTGTCGTGCATACGTAGGCTCAGTTGTGCAAGAGTTGATAATAATCACCTGAAGTCACTTGCGGTAGTGTGGGAGAGTTTAGCTGAGCCTGTGGCTCGAATATTCAGAGTTGGTTTGAAGAAAGATACTAATGCGACATGTGGAAACACAGGAATGTAAAACAGACTACTAAAATCAGGTGGTCCTTCCAAACCTGTTAACTGCCTTTTTGTGACGCCTCTACCGGTACTTGGATAGGTGATAGAAATTGTTGTTAATTTGCTGGTGATGTACTTCGGAAAATTTACATACTTTGAGTGACATATCATGGATTCTGACGTGTTCGATCATGCATAACCAATCTACTACTAGCAGGGTCCACCTAAACCGTAACAATGCACGATTGTCCGGGAAGTGCTTAAATTTACGTCGATTTCTCCAACTCATTCGACCACTTGGACCATCGTCGGTAGATATGTCTTTCGAGGTGTCGCGTTACTTGGCATTCAGTGTCCAAGATAATCGGAAAAATTCAAAAGAACCATACTGTGCAAAATGAATCAAAACATATACTTTAATAACATTTACATGATAATTGAAATGGTTTTGCTGAATTATCACTCAGTATATTCGTTCTCGCAGAGCCTAAAATGCGAAAAAAGTGTTGCAGCAATACATGTGACATGAATATAACGTAAAAGCCTTAGTTTAGACAGCGAACGTTTTCATTATCAATTAAGACATTACATGTCAAATTCATGAGCATAAATGTAGGCAGTGACTTAGTTATACTCCCGCCTTATCCATTATCTTCATAGTACGCTCGATGTAAACTACGTACTATTTCAGCAGCCAAGCAAGTAGAAAATATGAAGTTCATTATCGCGCTAAACCGATACGTACCTGGATCCAAATACATATCCCTTTCTATTCACAAATTGCTCATAATTTGGCGGTGTGATTTCCAGCGTCACTTCGCATCCATTTTGGTCTCTATACTTCGCGGTTCTTGCTACTGCACAGGAAAACATCCTGCCGTCTGATTCCACATATGGTGTGCCTGGTTATAGAAAAATAAACTTAGACGCTGTATGAAAGAATATGAAAAAAATTACAAACAATTATGGTAAAGTTAAGTATGGCTTTAGTTAAGTTTAAATTTCGACTTACCATTTTCGTCGTATTTCATTGGTATGACAAAGGTATCAGCCTTGACGGTGTTTAGGATAAATGGAAGGACCATAATATTAGCAATAATCTGATTTGGGTTCATTGCGTATGCCTAAACGTTCATATCGAAAGGAGATAAATATACCCAGATGATCTTGAAATTTTAATACGAGGCTCAGCAGCTTTACTTGATTCGCAGTAATGGGCAACGGGGAATGAACTGGCCTGTAGCAGCAGCGAATTGATGGCTCTCAAAGGAACTATGAACATAGATTGCGTTAGACTTCTAATCAATGTTCTCATGATTACAACTCATAGGCTGTGAAAGGAAACACAGGAACTAACACCAAATCGATAAAATACCAATTACGCTTTGCTGAATTTATCGTTATGCTAAGCCATGCCGAGTCGAATTAAGTTAGTCTTTGATCCTGTAAGGTTATTCGCTATGTATATCCTGAGGCAGAAAACTGCATGTGGGCCGGACACCAGCAATCAATCAATTCATATTATCATGTTTTGTAGTCGGTTACATTCATTTAACAACTCTTAAAAGTATAATTTAACCTGTTCCTAACATTATCTCCCTTTAATTCCTGACTCTTAGATTTAGATATTAACTGCCCATAGTTGTATTTGGTATAAAACTGCTGCAAGTATTTCGGCGCTATTGCAAGACCGTCCAAATATTCTTCTGAAAAACGTAAACCACTTAACTTCACATACTACGTCCAATCTTACTAATTATCCCCTTTATTCAAGACTGATATTCGTACCAAGCTTCTGTTAACAGTACACTCAATCAAACTATTATTCATAACTTGAATGATGAGAGCAGATATTCTCTTACTTTACTGAAAAACTGAAAAGCGAAAGCTTGGGAAACGCTTAGCTGAATAATTATCATTGAGTTATTGCTCGGAATGCTTATAATGTTTGTTGACAGCGTTATGGTATGGGCAGTTCACAGCCACACCGCTTTTGGTTCATCATGGATAATCGAACCGTTTCACGTGTTGTTAACTTCAGTGAGATGTTATCCAATGACAAGATCAAAAATATGTGCCCATTTACCGAGACCGCCTAAATCATGTTTCTGAACCCATTTATCTTTCTAATTTATGCAATTCAATGGAGCAATAGTTTACGATAGGTATAAAGCGAATGCTTGACATGTCCCGTAGGATAGTTTGCTTTAGAAGTACAAAAGACAAAACAGCGAGAGAAGATTACGCTTGAAATTCATGACTCGCCAAGGGGTTGGGAATTACTCATGTGCAAGTAGGGTTATGACACCGTCCACTATTTGTTATGCATTAGTGCCAGCATCTGATGGCCATGGGATATATCATTTAGTGTACCTGTGTCAGCCTATCGTCAAGGCCTTTTTTGAAGATGGATAAGGTGGAGGCATTAATTAGGTGTGCCGAGAGAGCGTACCTTGGCTGTGCGACCCGTTGGGAGGAAAAGTTTCATCGACATTCCAGTCGGCTGTACTGCGAGACCAGCTTAAACTAATCATCAGTTAGGGATGTGTTTTGACTGCCTTTCTAAAGAGCATGGTGTGTGTGGTTGACGTTTCTCAGAATCTGATATGACCATAACATCCGCCATAAATTTTGATGATTTTCAGCCTGAGTGGATAAGGTAGGCGGGACAAGCCACTGACGTTCTTTGTCACTCTTCGTTGTATGGTATCGACCGCGGTGAGACGGTGCTTCAGCCAGGGTTTCCATGCTTGGACAGCATATTCCGCATGCGATTTCGCAAACTGGACAAGGATTTTCGTAATGACTAGTGCGTCAATCGTCCCCAACGTTCTACCAAGAAGGCCGAGGTGCTGGGTTGCATAATTTGATGCCTTTGCAGTCTGCGCCAAACAACCAAGTTCACCTTGAACATTCATGCCTAGATTGCACTCATGAGAAGTCCGCTGCATTATTTGTGATCCTGGGTAGTATTTGTGAATACTCTGATGCTTTACGCTTGGAGTCTTGCACTTGGTGGCTTAGAAATGCAGGATGTTCTGGATGGAGATTGTGCCAGCATTGTCCAGATCATCCTGCGTAGTTCTCCACATTGGCAATAGCGAGCTATATCTATAGATCCTAGGCAAATAACAGAGTTTGAAGATAGCACCCATGCGAGATCGCGTCTGGAGACTAGGAACAGGCGTGGTCTGAGTACCGAGTCGTTTGGTCTAGATGGGGTGCTTTGAGCCCTCACCTGTAGGTGACTTTGATCAAGCAAGTCGCATATCCAGCCCAGAACGAGATCTCCAATTCCATATTTCTTAACTTTGTGCATCAGAGTGCTATTGCCTCGACGATGCAATCGCTTTGAGAAAGCAAGGTAGGTTACACCGACTACTGTACAGATTCCGTCCAGCATGCAATAGCGATTAACGGAGTAGTAGGACAACACCGATTTTGGCGAGATTTTTGTTGTTCTCTAGGTACCCCATTAAAGCCTCAGACATACTGGACTACATTAACTTAGAAGGTCACCGAAAGTAGTGTTATCGAACGATTATTTTCTGGTTCAGCACCGCTACCACTTTTGTAGTGTGGATTGATGATCCCGTGCTTCCCCATCGTGGGGACGGGCCTTTCGTTAAAACATCACTGTAATTGAATTGCCCTCGGTTCCGTTACACTTTTGGCGACAACCTTCAGGGCCTTTGGTCTAATGACGTCCACACCTGTGCAACTGAGCTCGCGCAACGACATCGCAGCTGTGGTGGTAAACGAGATGTGATTAAGTCTTGATGGCGGCAAGACCTGTGCAGACAGGATGTAAGATGATTGCATACCTTGGAAAGTACGGCAATTTGTTTTCCATGAACGTTGGCCACCTCTGGCGCGTTTGTGACCGTAAGCCGTGGGCAGAGCAATAATTCCGCAATTAACCCGGCGCAGTTGTTTTATGTGTCTGTATAGCAGCTTGGGATCCAATTAAACTTTTTCCACTAGACCATGTTGATTTTGTACTTTATCCTCCCGGAAGAGTTTGAAACACTGATGACTTTGTGTTGTGTAGACATCCCAGCGAGGGCTCGGAGACGCTGTGTAGGTGAGCCATGTCAAGTCCCTCAATACATTTGCGTGTCCTGCTTCTTACGCGATACTTCACTATTGTAGGTCTGTGGAATTTCGTTTCCTATGCCGTTGCCACGAGTTGTTGGATCTGTTGACGAATTCTTCGCAGGCCGCTTCAGTGGACCATTCTGCTAGAAACGCCCAGTTTGTTGCACCAATGGGTTCGGACAGCTCCTCTTAGTTGGTTACGACGTGTAATTCCTCGGCACGCACTTTAGGTTACTCCGAGTAATACATGTAATTTTAACATAATCGTCGCACGATCGTTGTGGTTCAAAGGAGTGCATGTCCTTAGCATCTTGAATTTGAGTTCCTCGTTGATTATATCCATGTATGTCCAAGATGGCCGATTGGTTTCCTGTCTTCAGACACCTTGGTGAATATAGATGGTTGTGCAGCGGTGAACTACCGATTAGGACTTGTAGTTCTACTTTGAATTACTCAACAATCTTGGCCGGAATTTTAGGCGGTGCAGATTGAAATCCCCCACAAATAGAAGGTGGCTGTATGGTTGTGCAAGCGGGTTTTTCATGGAAGACACTAAGGTCAGGTCCATTTCTAAAGTGGAAATTGTTTGGCGGTATACACCGGCTACTAAGCATCTCGTGCCCTGCTTTAGATGTAGGCAGCACGATGATGCGTCCACGGTTTCAATCACAGGTCGTTTGCGCGGTCATTGTGTAGGCTGGAAGGGTAGTAAATAATTGCATTACCACTCTTCGTGGGTCTGTCTTTGCGCAAACTTAGCATACCATGTAGTGCGATCTCGACGTCGGTAATCGCGTCACTAAGCCGTGCCTCGGTTACCAAGATGAGGTCCCAACACATTCAGTTTTAACGAAATCGAAGCTTGGCCAATTTACTGAAAAGGCCTTGTGCGTTTGTATACAAACAGTTCAGAGAAGCGGATGCCAGAATAGTAGCTTAACACACTAACGTTTCTTGTGAATTTACGCCGAAACTTGTAGGGCCGACTGACAATCGTTTGTGTATGTATTTCCTGGTTAGCTTCAAGAGCCGTCTCTATCTGTTGTGTGCAGCACTCACTAAATAATCCTTCGGACGAAAATTGCATCCGGTTTTCGGTCCCTTTCTCGTCTGCGGGCTGGGGAGTTGAACTACGCTCTGGTTCAGAAATGCAGGCAGCGGAGCCAACCACAGGTTCATGCTGGTCTTGTGTTCTCCCAGCTAACGGTGGCTTGTCTTCGACCGCCTTCAGAAGTATATCTGAGAGCAACGTGTTGCAAAACTTGAGCCTGCTTCCGAGTACACTCTTAACCCTTTGTTTGGATTTCAGCAAAGTTGGACCACTTCCTTTATAGTTTGGTGATAGAAGTTACCTTATCTTTGGGTTGGCAACCATATCGTGGATAGGAAGGGCTTCGCGAGTATAGCGCAACTATTCAAATTTATGAGCTTGGACCTGCATATTTTCGGATAACTAAATTTCGCGGACACCCTGGACAAAGATGGATCACTTTTAGATTTGTTTGCGGTGATCTTCTTGGTGTTGTTACCTTTGCCGACGTTCGATCTGAGGGAAGTCAGTGTATGTTTGAACGCCGCATAACGAATCACGAAGACGGTGATCTTAGAAGTGGGAGGTCTGCGCTTCGTTTCCAGACGATAATATCCCCTGAAGTAGCGTTGGCTCTCCATAATGATATGAGTTTGGTAGGCGGACGATACGACACAAGTTAGCCTATTTGGTTTGGATAACCATTGTTTGGCATTTGGATTTCTAGTGTTATATGTCGTCCACTGTGTTGCCCTTGATTGAGTTTGTGTTTAACTCAGGCTAGTTGGCGCCTATTGGCTTCATGGAGGTTTGAGTTTTCCTAGTTACTTATGCATGATGGAGTGCCTCCTTTTACTGGCGGCCTGATGTACGATCTTTCGGGGAACCAGTGGCATTTTTGTCGTTTTTAACCGTTTTTGGAGGGGTTGCAAACATGACCGTTAACTTTGCCTTGGGTCTAACTGCAGCGACGATAGATGCATATGTTGTTGG